GGGGGGGAGATGATCTGCTGCGGTGGTGTTGGCGGCGGCCCGGCGGTGCCGGACGAAATAGCCCTCCCCCCGGTCGGAGATCTTGCGCCGCGCGATTGCCTGGCCCTCCGGTGCGCGCCCAGCCACACGCAGGCGCCCCTCCCCCCGCGCCCGCACGCGCGCATGCCCCCGGGCGCCGCGCCGGCCAGCAGCCGGGTCCATGCGCGGCTGAAGATCGCCGGCCCGAAGGGTTGGCATCTGCCGGAGCACGTTCCCCCGGCCCCGGGAGGGGGGCGCTGCCGATGCTCTCCGGCATTCCCGGCCGCCCGGGGCGGGGGGCGGGGGGAGCCATGGCGCCCCTGCTTGCGCGTGGAGGGCCGGCGCTCCGGCGCTCCGGCCCGGCGCGCGGACGCCCACCATGCCCTGGCGTGCTTGTCCGCCCAGCCGGCCCGCCAGCCCTTGTGACAGTTCCCCCCCGGTCCTGCTTGGCCTGCGGCGATCCGCCGTCCCCGGGCCCGAGGACCTGGGCGTCGGGCGGGGGCGGGGGGCGGGGGGGGCAGGCACTCCGCAAGGCCCCCTGGGGCCCGGAGGGGCGGGGGGCGGCCGGGCCCTGACGCGGGGGGAAGGGGTAGATCGGCAGCTGAGTCTTCTTGACTGAGCGCCCCGGTCACACGCCGGGCCTCCGCGCCAGTCAGCACCCTGCCCCTCCTCCGACACACACACACACACACACGCCCGCGCCCGCCCCACCTCGCACACCTCTGTCCCCCCTCCCCGCCCCCCCCCCCCACCCCCCCTCCCGCCTGGCCGCCTGCTCCTCTTCACACATCCTGCCCCGCCGGCTCGCCGACCCCGACGACGAGGATGAACTTCGGCGATTCCAACTTCGCCTGGGCGTCGGCCCCGGCGCCACCCGGCGGCCAGCAGCACCAGCCCCCGCCACAGCAGCCGTATTACGCGCACCCGCAGCAGCACCCGCACCCGCACCCGCGCCCGCACCCGCACCCGCACCCGCCGGGCCAACAGTACCCCGCCCAGCCTCCGGCGCAGCACTACTACCCGCAGCAGCACCCGCAGCAGTTCATGGGCGCGCCTCACGCGCAGGGCGGCTGGGCGGTCCCCCAGCCGGGCGCTGCTCCTGTGGCCCCGGCCCCGAAGGGCAGCCAATTCTCCATCCGGCCATCGAGCAACCCCCTGGACAACCTCTTCGGCAAGAAGGGTGCGCCCTTGCCCGTCCGACATGGACTGCCCCCTCCCTCGCCGGGCCGGGCCCCGCCCCCCGCCCCGCCCCCTGCTCGCTTACTCACGTCCACGTGTGCGCGCCCTCCCCTTGCCTTGTCCCCCCCCCCCTCGGCTGCCTCCCGCCCGCCCGCCCGCCCGCCCGCCCGCCTTGCGCCCCACCTACGCAGACCTCTTTGAGAAGGCCCGGCAAGAGCGCAGCCAGGTCGGCCTGCCCCTCGGCAAGCGCGAGGTCGGCTCCTCGAGCGGTGCCCTGCCCCCGGCAATGGCCCCGACCGCCGTGGCCAACTACGACATTTCCTTCGGCGACGAGGATGACGCCTCCGGCGGCGACGGCAGTGGTGGCGCCGCGCCGCCAGCGTCCGGGGTCCTGGGGGCCCCGTTCACGGCGTGGCAGCCGCAGGCGGCCATCTCGGCGGCCGACGCGTCGGCGGCCTTTGCCTCGGTCTCCGGGCAGCCGGGCTTCGGCGGCTTCGGCGGCTTCGACGGCCTGCCGGCCTCCGGCCCGGCGGCTTCTGCCGGGCCTGCTCCGGTGTCGGCCGGCGCGCAGCCGGACTTCGGGGACTTCGGTGCCCCGGCCGCCGGCGGGTTCGGGGCCTTCGCCACATCGGCCCCGGTCGCCAGTGACTTCGGGGACTTCGGGGCCTCGGCGCCGGCCAGCGCCCCGGCTGCCGGCGGGTTCGGGGACTTCGGCGCCTTTGCTGCCTCCCCGGCCCCCCCGCAGCCGGCCCCCCCGCAGCCGGCCCCCAGCATGGCCAACCCGCAAACGTGGCACCAACTGCGCCGGTCGACCGTGCCCCTGCCCCCGTCACAGGCCCCGGCCTCGCAGGCTTCGGTGTCCTCACTGCAAGCCCTGCCCGCGGTCGACATGGACCAGATGCTCGCCCGGCTGAGTGCCAACCTCGGCAGCACGCCGGCCAGTAGCCCGGGTCGGGCCGTCCCCCCGGCCTCCCGGGCCCCCGGCCCGACCTCCGCCCCGGGGCCTGCCCCGGTGGTGGCCGCTCCGGCCGACTGGTCGGCCATCAGCGAGGACCTCTTCGCGGTGGACACCGGCCCGGCTGAGCCCTTGGCCGAGCCCCCGGCCGAGCCCCCGGCCGAGCCCCCGGCCGAGCCCCCGGCCGAGGTCGGCCCTCCGGCCGGCGCAGCTCCGCCCGGGCAGAGCTTCGATGATTTCGGGGATTTCGGTGCTGCCCCCGCTGGCCAGCCTGCACCGGTGGCCGCGCCTGCCGACTTCGGGGACTTCGGCGACTTCGGGGACTTCGGGCCGCGATCTGTCCCCGCCGCTGGGGGGGCCCCCCCGGCGGGGGACTTCGGGGACTTTGGCGGGGACTTTGGCGATCAGGCCTTCCCTGCCTCGGCCCCGGCCCCGGCTTCAGGTGCAACCGCTGCCTCGGCCCCGGGCGACGATTACCCGGGGTTCGGGGAGTTTGGCACCTCGCCGGCGCTCGACGCCCCTCCCGACGTGACCGCCCCCGGCCCTGCGGCGGCCTCGGCTTTCGAAGGCTTCAGTGCGCCAGTCTCCCCCATTGCCTCGGGCAGCTCTGACTCGGCCCCGGCCCCGGCCCCGGCCCCGGCCCCGGCTCCCACCCGGCCGGTGGACTCCTTCACGGAGCTGCTGATGAGCCCGCCGGTGTCATTCTCCCAGATTGCCCCGGCCAGTCCGGCCGCGCGCAGCCCGGCGGCGGCCAAGCCGGCCGCTGTGCCGGCCACGCCGGCGGCCCCGGTGGCCGTCGCGGCCCCGAACTACGACTTCATCTTCGAGACGTCCTTCTCGCCGTCGGCCTCCTCCGAGGCCCTGGACCAGGCCCTCTCCGAGGAGGGCGCCCTGGCCGGGGCTCTCGATGGCCTGGCTCTCGAGGCCGGCCCGGCGGTCGGGCCGGCCACCGTGGACCCCTTCGGTGGCTTTGCCCCCGAGGCTGCGCCCCTGCCGGTCGAGCAGACCGATGCCTTCGGGGACTTCGGCTTTGACAGTGCCCCGGCGCCGGGGCCGACCGGCCAGGCTGACGCTTTCGGGGACTTTGCCTTCGAGGCTGCCCCGGCCCCTGTGGCCGCCACGCCGGCCGCTGCCGGCTCCTTCGGCGACTTTGCCCTCGATGGCAGCCCGTCCGGGATCCCGGCTCCGGGCCCGCCGGCCGACTCCTTCGGCGACTTCGGTGTCGATGCCGGCCCGGCCGCGGCTCTGACCCCGGCCGGCGATGCCTTTGACGACTTTTTGTTCGGCGCGGCCCCGGCTGCCGACAGCACCACCCCGGCGGGGGTCTCTCCCGGGGGCTTGTCCCTGGATGCTGCTCCGGCGGCCGAGCCCGCGCCGGCGGCCGGGTCCTTGGACGTCCTGGCCCTTGCCGCTGGGCCGCCGGCCGGGACCACCGCCCTCGAGCCAGCCCCCACGGCCGGCCCTCTGGGGGATCCTTCCTTCGAGGCTGCCCTGGCCGAGGCCCCGACTGCCAAGCCCCCGGCGGATGATGCCCTCGATGCCGTCCCAGTGGTCGACTTGGCCCCGGCCGGCGACTCCTTCGGGGACTTTGCCTTCGATGTCGCACCCACTCCGGCGGCCCTCCCGGCCCAGCAGGGCGACACTTTCCCGGCCGGCGCCGATGGTGCCATCGCCACTGCAGCCGCCTCGGCACTCCCACCGGCTGACATCTTCGGGGACTTTGCCTTTGACACTGGCTCCCTGGCCGAGGCGCCGGCACCAGCCCAGCCGACCGGAGCCATTGACCCCTTCGCCCTGGAGGCCGCCTCTGCCGGCGACAGGGCCAGCCCCGATGCCGAGCCCACCGCCACTGGGACCGCTCCGGGTGACGACTCCTTCGGCGATTTCGGGTTTGATGCCACCCCGGCGGCCGATGTGCCGGACGCCGCCCCGACTGGTGCCTCCTTCGGCGACTTTGAGTTTGATGCTACCCCGGCGGCCGACGCCCAGGATGCTGCTCTGGCGGCCGATGCGCCGGACGCCGCCCCGACTGGCGCCTCCTTCGGCGGCTTCGAGTTTGATGCCGCTCCGGCGGCCGCTGCCCAGGACGCCGCCCTGACGGGGGGCTCTTTCGCCGATTTCGAGTTTGATGCCGCCCCGGCGGCCGACGCCCCGGCTGGCGCCTCCTTCGGCGACTTCGAGTTTGATGCCGCCCCGGCGGCCGACGCCCAGGACGCCGCCCTGACGGGCGGTTCTTTCGCCGATTTCGGGCTTGACATGACGCCGACTGCCGAGCCTGCCCCGGCCACCTCCTCTTCCGGGGACTCCGAGCTTGGTGATGGCACCCTGGCTGCTGCGGCCGGCGCGACTGTCGGCACAGCGGCACCGGCGGCCGATTCCTTTGGCGACTTCGACTTTGCCGCGGCGCCCGCGGCCGCAGACGCCCCCCCGGCAGCTGCCCCGGTCGATGACTTCGCCTTCGAGTCGGGGCCCACCATGTCGGGTGCCCTGGCCGACGACGCCTTCGGGGACTTCGGCTCCGGGGCCGCCACTCCGGCCAGCGGCCTGGACATGGCCGCCGCCTCGGGCACCAGCGACCTCCTCCCGGAGTTTGGCTTTGCCGCCGGCGGCCCTGGGCCCCTGGAGGCGGCCACCCTCGCCGGGCCTGCCGGCGACGCCGCGGCCCTTGGCGACTTCAGCACAGTGGCCAGCCAGTCGGCCAGCGCCGCCAGCCAGTCGCCGCTGCACTCGCCGGTGGAGTTCTCCGGCTTCGACTGGTCGGCCGAGGCTGTCTCCGCCGGCTCTGCCGCCGCCGCCGCCGCTGCTGCTCCTGGCGCTGGCCCGGGCGAGTCTGCTGCCGGGGCTCCGGCGGCCCGGTCGACCGCTGCGGCGTCCTCGACCGCCGACTGGGCGGACTTTGGCGGCTTCACGGACGATGTGCCGGCGACCGCCGCGCCGGAGGAGCCGCACGACACGGACTCCTTCGTGGCCGTGACGGGCTCCTCCCCGTCGGGGTCCTCCTTCGACTGCATCCGGTCCACGGAGTCCCTGGAGGAGGTGGCCGACGGGCTCTCCGCCAACGATCGGACCTCGGCCGAGGGGTCTCTCTTCGAGCTGACGTCGGCCGCCGGGTCGCCCAGGCCCGAGGGCCAACCGGCCGGCGACCCGGCCCCGGCGACCGCCGACTTCACCGGCTTCGATGATGCGGACTTCACGGAGTTCGCGACGGCCGCGCCGGCCGGCGGGGCCGCGGACCATGCCCCGGCCCCCGACGCCCGGATCCTCCCCTCGGTGGTGGCCGGCTTTGGCATGCAGCTGAGCGCCGGGTCCAGCCCGGCGCCCTTCTCCCCGGCCGAGCAGTCGCCCGAACGTATGCCCCCCGCCACCGGCTGACCTGGGTCCCCTCCTTCCCTTGTAGACTCCTCGCTAACAACACCGAGCCACCCTTCCTCCTGTTGCGCCCCGCCGCACATGTGCGGCCCCATGTGCATGTGCCTAGTCCTCTCTTCATACCGCCCCTTGCTGAGCCGCGTGTCGCAGCGCCTCGTGGCCGACTCGGAGATTGTGCTGGCCTCGGCGCGTGGGATTGCCGCCCTGCCGGAGGCTGCACTCTTTCCCTACACGACCCTCCTTCGATCTTAGACTCCTCGCTAACAACACCGAGCCACCCTTCCTCCTGTTGCGCCCCGCCGCACATGTGCGGCCCCATGTGCATGTGCCTAGTCCTCTCTTCATACCGCCCCTTGCTGAGCCGCGTGTCGCAGCGCCTCGTGGCCGACTCGGAGATTGTGCTGGCCTCGGCGCGTGGGATTGCCGCCCTGCCGGAGGCTGACCGCCGCCTGCTGGGGGCCTCCCTGCCGCGCGGGCGCTACGATCACCTCTTCCACCAGGCCCTGCAGGCGGGCCCGGCCGGTGGTCCGGCCTCCCCCGGGGCCGAGCCCCGGCCGTCACCCGTGGCCACCTGGCAGGCCCATGTCCACGCGTGGCTCAGCCATGCGGTGTGCGTTGGGCGCTTAGATCGGAAGAGCACACGTGATCACCTCTTCCACCAGGCCCTGCAGGCGGGCCCGGCCGGTGGTCCGGCCTCCCCCGGGGCCGAGCCCCGGCCGTCACCCGTGGCCACCTGGCAGGCCCATGTCCACGCGTGGCTCAGCCATGCGGTGTGCGTTGGGCGCTTTGCGGCGCTCGGCGCCTCGGCCGCCGGCTCGCCGAGCCTCCATGCCGCCCAGGGGGGGAGCCCGGCGGCGGGGAGCAGCCCCGGCGGCCCGGTCGCCATGGCCGCCGACAACCTGCGCACGGCGGCCGGGCTGCTGGATGGCGCCGGGCTCGGGCACCTGGCCCTGAGCCTGCTGCTGGCCTCCGGCCAGACGCCCGGCGACATGGCCGACGCCTCGACCGCGGCCGCCGCCTTCGCCGTGACCTCGGCCACCCTGGACCTGGCCTGCGACCGGGCCTTCCCGGCGGCCCCGGGCTCCCCGAACCCCGGGGCCCAGCTGGCCCAGGCCCTGGCCCGGTCGCCCGATGGCCGGTCCAGCCCCTCGTCGACGGCCAGCCCGCTGCCCGGCACCTGCCACCTGTGCTTGGGGGCCCTGCCGGCGGGCGACGCACCCGAGCGCGACTCGCACCTGGAGTGCCTGATCCTCTGCTCGCACCTGGCCCACACCGGCTGACATGCCCCGTGCCCTGGGACGCGGCCGGGTGGGCGCGGCCGCCTGACCAAATGCACGCTCCTTCCCCCCTTTTTCCAACCCATTGACGATGTTGTTGCTGTTGGGGGTTTTTTTTCCCCCCCTCTCCCCTCTCGCCCTCGGTCCGGCCCCCGGCTCGGCCGTGTGCGGGAAGGGGCCCGGCCCCGGGCCACCGCCCACAACACGGCCAGGCGCCCCGGCACCGAGTGCCGCGGTCTAAACTCAGCCAGTTAATGATGGCGGCCGGCGCAGCTGCCCACTCTTGTGTCCTGTGGGGAAAGCGCTGCCCGAGGGGGCGAGAGAAAGGCAGCGAGGCAGAGAGCCGGGGGGGCGGGGGGGAGCACGCTGTGCACAATGTATGTCGTCGCCCGGGGCCGGGCGGACAGGCGTTCAGCCGGAGGGGGGGCGATTGTGGGCCAGGTGAGCGGGGGGGGGGCGATCTTGCCCGAGCGGGGAGGGGGGCGGCGGGGGGCCGGGCACACCCGCGGGGCCCAGCGGTGCGGGTGTTCCGCCCTCGCACGGCAGACGTCCTCGTCCGGGCGATGGCCGTCCTTTGGAGCGTCTTTCGGGCTTCGGATACGGGGCTGCCTTCCGGCGCCGAGGGGGAGCCAGGCCGCCATGTGCGCGCTGCGTATGTGTGCATGCGTGTCCACATCGGGGCGTGTGGGTGGACGCGAGGGAGAGGGCCCGGCAGCCGCGTCCGCCGGCGCACTGAGACCGCGAGGGCGACGGGGCCTCCCCCACCAGGGTGCTGGGGGGGGGGGAGGGGGCAATACACCTGTCAGGGTCGTGGCGCATGTGGGGGCGATGCCCGCCGGCCGCATCCCACCGGGTGTGACGCTGGCAGGGGCAGCAGCCTCGTCCTCCGGGCGGGTGTATAGAGGCCACCGGGCAGGGAGCTTTATGGCCCAGCCGGGTGAAACTCGCATCCTCTCCCAGCCATTTGCCCTCGCTCTCGTGCCACGCGCCTCTCCCGCCTCGACGGCCCCCGGAAAGGAACCCGGACAACCGTCGCACCCTTAGGACATACCTGATGTCCGGTCGGGCCCTTCGCCGCAGCCGCCGCGCAGCGCTGCTGCTCTTGCTGCTGGCTCTACTGGCAGTGCATGGCGCCCTGGCGCCCGCTCTCGCCGGCGGCGTCCCCACCGACAGCGAGGATGCCGACTCGCCGGCCATCTCCGCCGGCCGGCCACAGGGCAACAGCACCACCACCACCACCACCACCGCGAGCAACCACACCGACAGCCATGGCAACAGCAACAACAACCACACCGGCAATGGCGGCAACAGCACCACGGCGCCCGGCACCAGGGCCGACCGGCAACTGGGGCTCCGGCCCCTGGACGCACGTATGCCGGTGGACGTGGTGAAGAACATCCCCTCGCCCCGGGCGGTGGAGCACCTGCGCTCACTGCGCCTGACCCAGGACCCGTGCTTGCTGCGGGTGTACACCCGGCTGCGGCAAACCTGCCAGCACATCGCCGACGACCCGGACCTCCAGGGCACCCTGGCCCTGGGCTGGTTTGACTGCCAGCGCGTGCGCCTCGGCCAGGCCCCCATCGCCTGCACCTACGGGCTGCATGACGCCCTGGACCAGGGGCCCGATGACCATGCGGAGGCTGAGGCCGAGCTCCCGGCCGCCGGGGCCCCGGCCCGCCGGCTGCCAGGCGCCGACCGGGCCGCCGGGCAGGACGCCCCGGCGGCGGCCCTGCCCCTGGCGCGGGACGCCTCGCTCGAGCAGTGCCTCCAGCGCCTGGAGGACCGCCACGACCACACGGCCTACCATCTTTACACGCTGCAAGTGAGCGACGTGTGCAAGTCCCTCGAGGCCGATTCGTGGCAGCTGCGCGCGTCATCGGCCGCCAGCATGCTGGCCGAGGCGGTGGAGCAGCTGGGCCACGGCCTCTTCGCCATGGACACCTTCGCCGAGGACATCCTTCTGCGCATCAAGCGCCGTGAGGACCTGGTCGAGGAAGCTTTTAGCGCACGTGCGTGTCCCCGGCCCCATGGGCCGGGCTGCTGTTTGCCGGGCCCCGGGCCTTGGGTATGCTCACTGACCAATTGCCTGGCCGGGTGCCTGTCTGCTTGCGCTTGCCTCACTTGCCCAACTGCCGCTGCCCTTCGGGGACACCCTTCATGCATGTCTACACGCACATGCACACACATGCACACACATGCACACACATGCACACACATGCACACACATGCACACACATGCGCACATGCACACACATGCACACACATGCACACACATGCACACATGTACACACGCACACACATGCACACACATGCACACACGCACACACGCACACACGCACACACATGCACACACGCACACACACATGCACACACGCACACACACATGCACAGACGACCGGCTGCTGAGCAGCTCGCGCAACCGGCTTCGCGACATCGAGACCTCGGCCGGGGCCGTGGTCGACAGCGTGTCCTCGCTGCAGGAGCAGCTGCAGCAGGTGCGCGGCGCGCTGGCCGGCCGCGCGGCCCCGGCCCGGCGCCTGCTGGCCGTGGCCCACATCCTCCCGGTGTATGTGCTCCTGTGGCAGGGGGAGAAGCTGCTGGGTGCCCTCGCACAGCAGGTCCTCCTGCCACTGGTGCCGGGCTGGGCGGCGGGGCCGGCCGCGCCGGGGGCCGGCCTGGCCGGCTTCGGGCCCCTGCTCGGGCTGCTGGCCCTGCTGGACTTGGCCCTGGTGTGCTTGCGCCCGGAGGGGCCCGGGCCCGGGTCGGCCCCGGGCGCCGGGCCGGCCATCTGGCTGCTGGCACAGGTGGCCCAGCACCCGGGGCTCGGGCTGGTCGGGCGTCTGGTGGCCGGGCTGTTGCCGGCGGCCGGGGGCTCGGGTGCCGGGCCCGACCCGGCCGCCGAGTTCCTGCCGCTGGAAATGGCCGGCGCCCTGCCGGGCCTGCTGGTCCCCATGCTGTCGGATGTGACCCTTCCCCGGGCGGCCTTCCTGGCCCTGTGGACTGGCCGCCTGGCGGAGGGACTGTGGCGTGTGGCCCGTCGCCTGGCGCCCGGCGGCTCGGCCGGCCACCCGAGCACCCGGACCGGGCAGCCGCGGCGCATGGCCACCGCGCGCATGCCACCCGGCCTCTTCACCTCGGCGGACCCCTCGCTCTCGGTGCACCCGATCGTCTACAGCCCCAGCCTGGATGGCTACCAGTGCGTCATGGACCTGGACCAGCAGCAGCAGCAGCAGCAACAGCAGTGGGCGGCGGCCGCGGCAGAGGGCCACACGGCCCCCGGGGGAGACTACCATCGGCTGGACGCGGAGGAGGAGGAGCAGGCGGCGGCGGCGGCCGCGGCGCAAGCGCGCCAGGAAGCCGCCCGGCGCCGGTCGTGGTTCGCGCCGGCCATTCGCCGCGGGTCCATCGCCCCGGGCCTCGGGGCCGACGGCCCCCTCCGGAGCCAGTCCGACGGTCGGTTGTACCGATCCCCGGGCCGGGACCACCCGAAGACGGTGGAATTCGAGCCCCGGCGCGCGGCGTCCATGTGCCTGAGCGATGTCGATACCATGCCGCAGGCGGCCGGCCTGGCGCGCGCGGACGACAACCACCCGCCGGCGATGGCCTCCGGGCGTGCTCAGGCCCTGCTCGTGGACCTGGTCAGTCGGCTGCGCGGTGGCGCGGCCGACCGCACCGCCCCGAAGGCGGTCATCTACTCGTCGTACTGTGTGGGTGGCGGCCGGGCGGCCGACCCCATGGCCGCTGACTCCCACAGCAAGGGCTTCCACTCGGCTCCGCCCCCGCCGCCGTACCACCAGGACTTCGAGGGGCTCCTGGCCAGCGAAGGGCTTTTCCAGCAGCGCACTGACCCGCCGCCGGGGTACCATTCGGACGGTGCCGGCGGCCTGGTGGCCACGTGAAGGGGGGGAAAGCCGCTGTCCAACATAGAAACACCGAAAGGCCGTTGTACGGAGTTCCCGATGACGCCAGGTAGATGGTAGTTGGGGAGAGGAGAGGGGGAGAGGAGAGGGGGAGAGGAGAGGGGGAGAGGAGAGGGGGAGAGGAGAGGGGGAGAGGAGAGGGGGAGAGGAGAGGGGGAGAGGAGAGGGAGATCGAGATGGCGGGGGGAGATCGAGACAGCAGGAGGAGATCGAGACAGTGGGGGGAGATCGGAACAGCAGGAGGAGATCGGAACAGCAGGAGGAGGGGGGGACGACGGTGGTATTCAAAAAGTGTATTGGCCCCGGCGCGGGGAACCGGGACAAGGGAGGACAGGCAGGCGAGCAGCCGAGCAAGAGGCAGAAGGCGCCCTTAGCAGACGTTGTTGCCCTCGACAATGTTGTGGCCGCACTTGCGGGGCCACTCGAACACCTTCATGAGGGTCTTGTTGAGGTCGGCGCACGGCTTGAGACACGCCTCGAAGGGCATGAAGAGGATGATGAAACCGGCACAAATGCCGGCCAGGGGCCAGGCGATGAAGCTGCAGGCGCGCGAGGGCCAGGGAGGAGATGAGAAGGTCAGAGGGGGCGGCCGCCCTGTCGACTAGCATGCAAGCGGCAAGGAGGCCGAGAGGGGGGGGGGGGGGG